ATACAATGGAATATTACTGTTATAAAAAAATGAAATCTAACCATTTGTAATAACTTGGATGGACCTAGAGGGTATTATGCTGAGTGAAATAAGTCAGACAGAGATGAATACCACATGATTTCACTTATATGCGGAATCTAAGGAACAAAAGAAATGAACAAACTAAATGAAAACAGACTCACAGATACAGAGAACAAATTGGTGATTGCCAGAGGGGACGGGGTTTGTGGAGGCTGGGTGAAAAAGGGTGAAGGAATAAAGAAGCAAATTAGTAGTTACAAAACAGGCATGGGGCTGTAGAGTACAGCATAGAGAATATAGTCAATATTATTATAACGGCCGTGTGCAGTGCCAGGTGGGTGCTAGCGTAATCGCGGATAATCACTTCATAAATTATATAGCTATCTAGCCATTGTACTATATACCTGAAACTAATAGAAAATAATAAAAAAAGAAAAATCGGTTATTGTCATTTGGATATTGATAGTTTTTTAGAAAGAACCATATTTATTTTCATTTACAGCATCGGATACCATAAATAAAGCTGTATGTATGTATGTGTGTGTGTGTATGTATGTATAAGATGACACATTTCTGGCTTAGTATTTGCCTGGCTAGGTAATCAGATTCTATCAAATTCATGCTCACATTTGAAAATATTTATTGCACTTTCTTTTATTACCAATTTCTAAAGTTCCATGAGAAACGTATTTGCCTTTCTGACGGTAAAGAGCAGCATCCACTGGTCCACAGGGAAGCTGCAGGTCAGGAGCCCCTGACGGCCGGGTACTTTAGCTGATCTCAGTCTGAGCTGTGACTGAGAGTCTCCCCAACGCAGACCCCTGGCCACAGATGGAATTTATATCTATTTTGTCTAAAAAAATGTCGTTTATGAATTAATCACTTTTAAAAAGATTCCTCCTTATAGAAGTATTAGAAAATATATTTAAATTGTTAGCATATTATAACAAGCAAAGTATTTCATTTAAATGTAAGATTTGTAGAAGAAACATTTTCTACTTAAAAAACTTAAAATTGTGTCTTTTAATTTAAAAAAAAAAAGAGGTTGTTGGAGAGAGAGGTGTGGGGCAGTGGATGGGAAGAAGGGGTATCAGAGTAAAATCAATGCCCCCTTCTTGGTGTTCAAATGGTACAGCAGAAGATTTGCATATGTTCACAGGGCATTGTGGGGAGCAGA